TTTTTATGACTTTTTATGGCTTACTATACTATGTCGTTTGATGACTTTTTATGCATTACTATATATGACGTTTTTAGGACTTTTTATGCTTTACTATACTATGACATTTTTAGGACTTTAATGCCTTACTATACTATGACTTTTTATGCCTTACTATACTATGTCGTTTTTATGACTTTTTATGCCTTACTATACTATGACTTTTTATGTCTTACTATACTGTGACTTTTTACAACTTTTTATGCCTTACTATACTATGACTTTTTATGACTTACTATACTATGTCATTTTTATGTTTTATGCCTTACCATAGTATGACTTTTTATGCCTTACTATACTATGAGGTTATTATGACTTTTTATGCCTTACTATACTATGTCGTTTTTATGACTTATTATACTATGACATTCTCATGAATTTTTACATCTTATTATAATATGACGTTTTCATGTCTTTTTATCCCTCACTATACTATGATGTTTTTGTGCCTTACTATACTATGTTGTTCTTATGACTTATTATACTATGACATTTCTATCACTTTCTATACCTTACTATATTATGACGTTTTTACGATATTTTATGCCTTACAATACTATGTCTTTTTCATTAAATTTTATGCCTTATTTTACGATGACATTTTTTGCCACTTTTATGCTTTACAATACGAAAATCTTTTATACCTCACTATATTATGACAATTTCATACCTTTCTCTAGTATGACATTTTTCAGAAAAAAAAAACAACTGACAACAACAGAGCCAAGATATTTCAGGAAACTACTGAGGGTTTGTTATTTTAAACAAACTGTATTAAGTAAGATTGTTGACATCAGTGGGAATAAATTCAGTTGTCTGTGTTTTGGGAAATGTCTTTTGAATCTGAGGCACAAAAACCAGGGTCCACCCATTTTCAGCTCACCGTATACATCAGATAAACAAAGAAGGCAACTTGAGGAAGGTTCTGCGCCATGAAGACCCAGACCAGGACCTTGGCTTCCTTCAAAACCTGGAAAAACAACAAATGTTACTACTGCTAATGCCTTTGTGTGTTCTTGACTGATGAACCCTCCAAAAATTTCTTGTCTCATTGTTTGAACAGACGATGGATGAAGAACACGCACTGCAACTGCCCCTACAGCGGCGGTGAGGCAGGCCCAGAACACTCCCACACCCAGGATGATGCTGTTGTGAGCAGACATGGCCGAGTCCGACGTCGTGATCAGGATACACAGAGACAACTGAAACACACCGACAGCACATCATTAATGAAGCCAGTGTTTGAATTTGTTTCAATCCTTTTTCAACTGCCATAAATATATACTTACGTTTGATATGTTTTGTTAGAACACATTATTTATATGATTTATTTTCAAGAATTGTATTTTATTTGTATCGGCTCTATGCAGGACGTAGGAACTATGTTTGCACCTCTGTTGCACCGGGACACTTTAAGTTGTAACAGTTCGAAGGCTTTTATGTAGGTCAGCCATTTTGTACCAACCAATGTTTGTACCAACCAACAGACACCAGTTCCTCTTACGACAGCAGCATCGACAGACCTGATGTGAACGCAACCAGAACACATGCTGTGCTCAACGTGCAACATCTGACTCAACCAGAAAAACCTGCCTCACTGTGGTAACTGTTTTAACTCCATAATTATTACAAATCCAGCCACATGCAGAAGGCACAGACATGTTCTCTGGAGGCTGCTCAGTCTTTTATTTGACAAATGGGAAAAATCTCTGACTGAAGCTGGAAGAGGGAAAACCAACTTATTTAAAAAAAAATCGCAGATTCATTATTATAATAATTATTATATCATTATATAATATTATAATGTATTTTACAGTGTGAAGAGTGTCTGATGGTGGATTTTACTTCACAAGAACAACATTTTTATCTATTAATTGAATCCCATTGAGGTTAGTTTTCAGACAGGACAATACGACATCAGACACACAAATAAAAATAAAACAATACAGCATGATGCTGTTTTAATTTACTGCAGCAAAATCAACTTATAGGTCTCAGTAAACTGTTGGAACAAAACTCCACTTGTTCTCCGATGGAACAAAACAAAATTATTACTGGTCTCTTCAGTGTCGAGGCTGTCGCATTTTTGCAAAGAGGAATGTGCAATGTAATGTTACCTGAGCCCACAGGTCAAAGGTCACCATGGAGAAACAGAGGTTGAGCAGGAAGTACTGCTCCTGGAGGCTCTCCAAGGCCCCGCCCACACGGAAAGCCATCATGTTGGGCCTCTGGATGAGCAGCGAGGTGCAGAGGACATGCACCACGCCCAGACACATGATGCACACAAAACGAACCTGTGACACAATCAGATCACAGCTGGTCTAACACAGTTTTCAAAAACATGTTGAAGATTCTCATCAGTCATGTCACAACTCATGTGACACAGTGAGTTTAATTAGCTTATTATGTAACTAACAACATGTGTCACGTAAAGTACATCAGCCTGCAGCCAGAAAGTTATTATATATGTTCTGTGCTGGTATTCAATGTATTTTAATTGGGCTATTTTCATGCCAACAAGACTAAAGTCTGCAGCCATGTTAGTGACTGTAAGTAAAATATTTACCAATGTCAACAACTTGAGCGATAGCATGCTAACATTTGCTAACCAGCACAAACAAAGCTGAGTCTGATGGGAATGAAAAAACCAAAGAACTGGACAAAGTGAAATTTCAACTACACGATAGTACTGGATGAAAAGTTGAGAGATCACTGAAGTTATCACGGAACATCCTGAGGGGAACGTGAATATAAGTTCTGTCAATATCTGTCGAGACATTTCACTAAAAACCACAAATGTCAGTCTCATGGTGTCACTAGAGGAAAAGTAGCAAGATTAAAGTCATTAGGATTCATCCTCTGGGAACCATGAACATCTGTGGAAAATATTAAGGACAGAGAATAAATGCAGGTGAGAGAGAGAGAGAGAGCGAGAGAGAGAGAGAGAGAGAGAGAGAGCACTGGAAAACTACTGCCCTTCATCTAATGTTCTGTTACCTTGTAGACATAGTATAAAATATATGTAAATGTAAATATTTGAATATTTCTGCTATGATTAGATGGCACACACGTAGCCTCCATTTTCCTCTTGTAGTAACATGCAATTATAATTATTACTATTATAATTATCATAATAATAATAATAATAATATTAATAATTATTATTATTATTGAGCATTTTTTTCATATTTATTGGTCAGTCACAAATTTTTATATTTTGTAATCTGGATCATTTTCCTCCCAGATGAACATAGAGGCCAAATATATCTGGTAACTCTTACATCTACAGCGAGGGTGGACTGGGATGGCGTCAAATTCCCATATATTCAATGTATAGTGTAGTTATGGTTCTATTTTTAGTTTCTATTCTGTTTTTATTTCATATTGTATTTCGTTTATTTAGTTGTTGTATATAATTTAGTCTTAAATTGCCTTTGTTTTTTTTTACATACCTCATTGTATCTATCTATGTCTGTCTGTCTGTGACTGATAGCTACAACAACAGTGACATCTAGTGGTGAAACCTGTTTCTTTCAACAAGCAGGAAGCTGTTGTCACTAATGAAGTGAGATTACTGGCAGCAGCTGGTATGAATAACTCAGGGATAGTGATGTTGTTGTTTCAGGTTGTAATCTTGATGCTGGCACAGACTTCTGGTGGTTTTGGTTAGGTCATGAAAACATCAAGACGATTTTAGTGTCTTCCTCAGTTACATTTTTAAATGATAACTATGTAAACAATCATTCAGTACAATGATGAAGGAGCTCCCACAGACGTACAGCGTGTCCAGCAGAGGGTGACCTACCAGCAGTTCCTGCTTGCCCTTTGACCCCTGCACGGAGAAGTTGACCACCGATCGGATCATGACCACCAACACGCTGAGCACGAACACCACCAGCTCCTGCGTGTTCTCCTGCAGCACGCCGCGGCTGATGTAATAGATGCAGAACACTGCAGGACACAGACAGACAGACACAAACAACACCAGTTTGTTTGGTTTATTTTCAAAGTTTATCCAATCCGTCATCTCTGTGCATCTGAATGTAAAGCCCTTATAATGCTGTTCATTCAGGGTTTCTACTGATGATGTTCTTGATACTGTATGGTTCATTTTTCAACTCTTAATCACAATAACTCTTGGTACTAGTTAATAAAATGTATCTCCATTGAATCTGTTTCCTTCGTGCTACTGCATATTTTTCACAGTGGTACTTCTCAGTGTTTGTAAGAAATAAAGTACTAATTACTGCATTTTGATCAGTTAATAAATACAACAACCTGTCAGTGTTCTGAGTCCTGACTGAAGAGGAGACGGATCGAAGTCCTGGATTTGAGTCGTAAGTCTTTTAAATCACATTCTGGATAAAGCATGTATAAGTAACTTGCTTACCACTAATTAACTGGTTCCAGCTTCTTAAATGTGAATATATTCCGGTTTTCACCGTCTTCAATGATGGTAAATTGAATATATAATATATGTGGGTTTTGGACTGACAGTTGAACAGAACAAGAGATTTGAAGATGTCACCTCTGGGAACTTATTATGTGCAGTTTTTGCTATTTTCAGAATTTTTTAAAGATCAAATGATTCATCAAAAAATAATCTGTAAATTATGGTGATAGATATGGGAAATAATTCCATTATGTGGCTATTGTGTAGCTGCAGGAAATCCATCATTAAGAAAAGTAAAACACTGGGAAGGAAAAAGATCTTTTGGAAACTTTTGGTTCATCACATGATTACACCAGGAAACATTTGGCCGTTAAACAGTTGAGGTGAGAAATCAAACTTCCTGAAAACACTGACAGTAAACAGCGTGACGACACTCACAGATTCCCACCAGCTGGATGAGAGACACAGTGAAGTTGTCCTCGTCAGACGCGTCGGTTCCCATGCGCTGCTTGTAGATGCTGCTCAGGGTGAGGCCGAGCAGCGCCAGCAAAGACGCTATCGTGAAGCAGAAATAGAGCTTCAGCAGACATGACAGCTCCGACCACGGCTTTATCTGCACGAGGGTGGAGATGGGAAACAGTGTATGAACATATAAACACAGTTTTTTAAAACTTATTCTAATATATTTGAAATAAATTTAATGATTACTTAGATTATATTTGTAGAATCCAAGTTTTTTTTTTCCTGTTGCACCCACAAAATGTGTTTCAGTTTTCCTCTGTTTCGTTACACTGTGCAAATAAAACTGAGCTTGAACTCTACTTGCAGAGATGCTAATGTTTTAGCACCATGACACTGGGATGAAGGGTCGAGCTTCTCACCGGCCCACATGGTGTCGGGATCAGTTCCCGGTGTCTTGGCCTCAGGTTTGGAGACAGAAGATCGGGGCTGTCTTGTGGTTGGTTGCCCAACAAAGGCCTGCAGAGTAAAACATTTGTTTCTTAAATGTAATGCATGAGAGAACTGAGAGATACTGCAGTTAAATAAATTCATTTTGGCCACCCAAGTATCTTCTGCAGCTCGGACCATGTTCTGTCCAGTGAGTTTACTGTAATGTCCTCAGGTCAGCGTTACAACGTGAGAACAAACCGCTGCTCCAGGTCCTTCATTCCTTCTGCTATCAGGCTACTCAAGGCTGACAGTCGACATTTTAAATGGCTGTTATATTAAAATTTTCATTCATGTATTCATATTATTTATTCATTATATGAACTGTGACATAATGTGTTATTTTATTTGTTTAATTTTCATTTATTTGACTTACTGCTGCTCCGTTGCCTCTGACTTATAACTTGTGTGTATGGACTGTTTTAGCTGCAAAGGAGCTGCCCTTCTTGGGATTAATAAAGTCTGAATCTGAATCATATGAACTTCACATTAAAGTAAGTAAATATGTAACTTAACAGGTCTTTATAGTCAGGACCAAGTGTCATAAAGAGCTTCACTCACAACAATAAAAGCATGAGACACTTAACAAACTGACGCCACACAAAAACACCAATATATGGTTTGTGTAAACAGGAAGGAGTTTAAACCGGGACAGACCAGGAAAAAGATATAAATAAAACAGTTAGAGCGTGGTGAGTCGGAAGGTTTGGGAAGATGACGAGTTCAGAGATAAAATATTACTGATGTTTTCCAAAGTCAGTTTTAAATAAGACAAGTAGTGTGGACAGGACAATAAAAATCACATGTATTCACAGTATTTAAGTCTAGTGAAGACTTAATAATACACTTAAGCTTTTATAGTTGTATAAGTTATTTTCTTTTAAATAAAAACTGACTTATTGCAAAAAAATACATAAATAAATGATTAAAATGGTCAAATACAGAATACAAACATTTGTTTTAAAAAGTTAAACTCTTCACAAATCAAGCAAATGTTTGTTTGTTTTATCGAAATGTGTACAGTCAGTTATTTACAGTTATTTAATTGCATTAGTGATGTCATTCCCTAGTGTTATTGTTACTGTCATTCTCATTATAACATTACAGGTTTGGTTTTGCACCATTGTTGATTGTCGTTTCTTCATGTCACTGTCATTGTTTTTTCTTTTTTCTTAATATGTTCAGTTCAGTTTGTCTGGCGCTGGTTGTTCATTCTTTGTTGCGTATTTGTGTGCTGTTTTTATGTCTACTCTATGTGCCTTTTATATCGCTCCCCTCGGGGACCAATAAAGTTTGTTGAATTGAATTGAAACAATCCAAAAATACACATTTAGATTTTACCAGAATAAAGTTGTATTCTAATATTTGGAAAATGAAGATTGAATGAAAAGAATAAATACAAACACTGCACCAGACATTAAGAAATGTTAATGCTAATGTTAATACACTTTTACTTTGTATTTCATTAACTTGTTTTATTCTATTAAAATAGAAAAACATTAATTGTGGCATGTGCAAAAGATTGGGAACCCTTCTACATGTAACACAAAGAACGTTTTTAAATCATTAGTTTAATTCTTTAGTTTCTTGAACTTGTAGTCGAGGTCAAGAACTGTCAACAGGTGATGAGACAACACCCACTTTCTTGTCTGAGTAACTGACTGAGGATCTGAGAATGAAACTAACTTGAACCTATAAAACAGGGGAGGCTCAAAGACAGACATTAAATCACTTCCAGCTTGAAACTTGTTAATGGGAACTGTGGAGGTCAGGACAAGACTGCACCAAACACTGACTGAGTACGGATCTCAAGCTTTTTCTACATACCACAAAATTACTGTTTAATTTTATTTCCAGTAAGTAACAACATTAACATCCGAAGAAAGGCTCTTTATTTCTTTCCACTTGTAAAACTCAGCAAAATAAGGAACGAGCCAGTGACGGTCAAAGTTCACCTGTTTTTTTTTATGTTTTCAGATTCAAATTCAAACTTGTTCGAGGAGCATAAAAATAAAATAAAGCAGCTCAGAGAGTTAGGAAACATTGAATGGCTGATCACACATCCTGGACTTCCCCAGTGTTTCCATTTGGAAAGTAAAATAATGAGGGACGTGTCTGCAGACTGACAACAGATCAAGAATGATGGAGGGAACTCCAGATGTGCAGTTAAGGGACATGAATATAAAATGTAATAAACTCATTTATATTTGTTTCTCAGTGTTATATTTTCTAATTAATCCATGTGCATTTCTGTGTGAGTTTTAATATCCTCCACAACCATCATGAAGGAGGCAGTCAACAGTTAGATTAATTCAGTCTTTACATACAGTACGTTAATCCATTCAGACAGTTTATAGTTCATCCAAACCTGTTGTTTGACACATTATGAGTGACGAGTTATAATAACCTGATTTTCTCCCGTTGCAAAACAACCTAACCTGTTATAAATGAGTCTGTAAATGAAGCTGCTGACCTTATCTCGTCCATTTCCTTTGGGGACCGGACTGTGGGAGCCCGGGTTTACATTCCTGCTCAGTCCTGCTGTCCGTCTCTGCTCCGGCTCACTAAACTTCAGTTTCACATTTGACTGTATGAACAGGAACAGACGCGGATGTTCTTTTTCTTCTTCGGCTGTTCTCGTTCTTCTTCGTTTTACTTTGCCTCCTCGAGAGCGCTGCTGCTGCTGCTGCCCCCGCCCCCGGAGGACCAGAGAGGCTTTCATGAGTTCAGCGACGATTATCTGACACGTTAGACCATTTAAATTCATTCTAACATTATGGAAGGATTGTTGTAGGACCCCCAGACTGAAATGTGCATCTTTTACTCCCTTTGAGCCTCTTAATGGTCATTTTTCTGTCTTTCTGTGGTCACTTTGTATGACGGAGAATTAGGGGAAAAAAGAAATCTGAAATTTCCAGAATAAAGTCATGATATTGCAAGAAAAAAGTCATAATATTATGAGAATAAAGTTGTGGTTTTATGAGTAAAAAGTATATCGCATAGCTGTATTTTGAGTTGTTTTTTTTTATTGAACGAAAACATGACAAATGACCAGAAAACAATAAACACAGATCAAACTGAACACCCTAGGTCACACTAAAACAAACCAAATAACAAACACAAAATATTACAATAACAATCAGGCTTGACAAACTAAATAAGATAAATATAAAAAATTAAATAAATAAATAAAAAACAAAGGCTAGATAAGGTCCGTGCATGAATTATAATTCTTCTGCAGTTGTTCACGTTGTATAATGAAAAGTGCCAGCTTTAGGGGTCAATTTAAACTAAATAAATAAACTGTGTAAATAATGAACATAATTAACACACACAATTACTGTGTGCAGGTTACCGTTATTTATAAAAGGTGGTGGGGAGAGGTGAAGGGGTCGGTTCGATATATGGTTGGAACTAAAAGGTTTAGAGGTTGTTGTGCAGCTAAACCGAACCAAAATGACTGAGGAACAGTGTTGGGTCTGTAAATAATGTGGCAGCCTAATAAATATAGACGAGTTAAACACCTCAGTGATGTATAATAAACCAGACAGTTGACAAATTAAAGAAAAAAAACAAGATAAACTGTAGTAGTAAGGTGTCGAGCCAAAACAGCTTCAGTGGTTGTTAAACTGTGTTGAGAACTGGTGACTGAAGGCCACAGCATATAATTCACATCATTTTCAACCTCATCAAACCATTCAAGTCACCAGGGGTGACTGGTCGGATGAATTCTACAGTACAACAAACAAAAGTAAATACCTTGCCATGTATACCACAAAGATAATAGAGAAAACTAAAACATCTTAGATTCTTAATGCATCCAAAGGAAAAAAGAAAAAAAGGAATCTCAAACATTCACCAGGGTTTTGCTTATCCTGTTAACAAAGAACATAACTGAATGCATGATACAACTTTACCACTTCCGGTTCTAAATTACAACAATTTGCCTTACTAACAATTTTCATGTCAAATAAACTAGTAAATTAAGATTCATTGAAGGTAAACACAATTTGAAAGAAATAAACAACAAATAAGATCAAACAAAGGACACTGGTTTCCAGCAACCTACTGGTGTGGCAGCATGGTCTCTAACAAAGGGATCTCAGTTGATCACACCCAGTGCTTTTATCAACTCCCCTATGCAATCTCCTCCCCTGTCCTCTAACAGTGAAGCCCCACCCACCCAGTCTGACATGTCAACTGGAGATTTTTGAACAATAAAAGAGTACAACACAATTTAATAGAATATATACTGTCCACTACCTCCTCAGCAGCAAACCACAGACAGATATAGTCAGAGAGCAGCTGCTGAACATAGCGGAGCATTTAGCAGCTAAAGAGACAGATTTCCCTCAGGAGCTGGTGGAGACCAAACACAGAGCTAAAACAGAGGGAACACTGGACTGAGATCCTCATGAGACATTAGTTGAAGAATAATAATAAATAATAAACAATGTAAACTAAAAGCTACAAATGAAGATGGAAAAAGTTGTCCTCCTTTCTTCTCTTCATCCCTCCGCAGTCTTTCCACCAATAGTCTCACAGTGTGACACACCTGAAATGTGAGTGAGGTCAGTGCCAATCCTTCTGGGTTTGCCACACTTGTATGATGTTGATGCCGACAGGTTTTTCCTCCAGGCAGCAACCCTTGCTCTGCCACAACAGCTTTGGGCCGCCTTCCTCTTCCTGTAGGCTCTGGTCCTAGGCACAGGTAGTCCAGGCAGAAGAGGGGCGTACGCTGGGGCGAGGGGAGGACCAACTGCACCAGATGAGGGGCCAGTCTCTGTGTACAGCTGCACACCTGGTGGACCCTGAATGCAGCTCCGGTTGCACCTCTGTGTCTCCATATGGCCTGGATGTGGACAGTAAGATAAGGTTTTCAAATGTTAATATTTGTTTGTGAATTACACACCACACAAAGAATACTATTTGTTTTGTTAAAAATGACATATTACAATTTTATGTTCATTGTTAATATGCATAACTACTAAACAGGAACCCGTTGCCAGGGTTGACAGTAATCAGTCATGTTGAAGACTGAGGGAATGAAAGCAGGGTTAGACCACATTTCATACCCATCCAACCTGTAAAGAGATAACTTGGTGGTCATTTTCTTTACCACTGAGTTTATTATAAATCATTCAGTCCATTTGCTGTTATAACATAACCATTAAACATATTTTTATTACATCTTATTTACAGTATATAATTTGTTTTGTTGAGTGGAATAAAGGAACAGCAACTAGCACTTCTCCATTTACAAATGTTATAAATATAATGCTAATGCCCAAGGGAGGCTGCTAGCTTGCGACCAGTCATGCCAAATGACTTACCATTTCTTGCTGGTTCTGTGCTGGTGTGGCACTGGCCTGAATGGATTCTACTATCCCTGTGAAAACACATAATTAACGAAATAAAACAAACTTTACATTGTAGGAAAACCAGGTCAATTTAGGCAGCTGTTCAAAAATACAGTATTGGGTAACATTTTTAACTAAAATTCATTACACTTACCATTATTCACTCAGTCAGGTGTTATGCAGGAAGCTCCTATTAGTTCAAAAGGAGGTAGCCCCGCAAAGCTCCCAACTGCAGGAACTGTTAACAGAAATCCTGGAAAGATTTTAAAAAAGTTGGACTATCATTGAGTGGATTCACTTGTAAAAACATGGTCAAAAATTTTACTGTTAACTGCAGTGTCAAACACTGAGATGCTGAGTTTTACATGCAGTTTTCCGCTCTGTATTTGTACTATGACTGAGTGCGTACACGATGATGAAAATAAACTCAACATATCAGAGATCGTTCAACAGTGAGCGTGCTTACAGTTAGCCCAGGCCGTTACACGGTTAGCGTTAGCCTAGCATCAGGGAGCTAATCTTGATAGTCGAAGAAGTAGTTTTCGATAAGTAAACTTGTAGCCTGTTCCCAAGTTTAGCACTTGATGTTAAGGAAAACATTTCGGCGTTTCTGTTGACATCAGCCATTGTAGTCTTCGGTAAGTTGTAGAGTGATTCCTTTGAAAATAATTATCCATCGTTTAGGTGTTTTACCGGCCGACTGCAGGCACTGAGGTAACCGGATGTGAACACCCACGCCATTTGACTACTTCCGCTTTTCTGACGTACACACGTGAAAAGGGAAAAAGTTAAAATAGCGGTCTAAGCAGCGGAAAGATTCAAATTACAACTTCCAGAACAGTGGCCACAATAAAATAAAAATCAGAGCGGAACAGAATGCAGATAGTGATTATGATCTTGGATTGCATAGACTCAAAAAATAAATCAAATGATCATTTTTGCCAGATGACCATCTCTATGTTCCAACAAATTTCTCAGCATGAACACTGACGCCTGAGCGTCTTATCGCCACATTTATCTTCAGTTCTGTACGAACATTGTGACCACAAGAACAGTTTCCAACAGCAAACCAACACTTTACGGCAGCCCTACTCAATTATCAGGGGACACATGGATGTATTGGGGACACACTTCAACACGAGCAGAATGATAGCAGAGTCTGTTACACTTAATTACTTGGTTGTTGTTTATGTGGTATTTACAGGTGCCAAATGAAAATGGAGGACTTTTTTCCCCTGTGCCTAATTCTAGCTGACACTGATTTAGTGGCACATACAACCTCAATAAAATAGTTAATTTAGTAGAGTATTCAGTAAATCGCAAAGCAGAGTGCAATCACAGGGCAGGTGTTCTGTTGCCTTCATCGGCAGAACCTGGTCCATGTACTTTCAGGTAGTCAGTTTTTTTCTGAACTACACGGACCAGCGACAAAACAATCCAGTTCAATTTATTCAAGCGTATCAACTTTGTGATCCTCTTCCCAAACAATCAATGTTTCAGTTCCATTCAATTCATTGTTTTAATCTATGCTTTTACCATTACAAGTCAGCCATTTCCCCAATCTAAACAGAATCTCCGAATCCGATCTCCGTATTTAAATCCGAAATGGCGCCCAAATTCACCGCAAGAGGCAGTGATTGTAACAGTGACGAGCTCCCCTCTGCTCGGTTTCTCCCCTCCCCTTCCTGCTCCACCGTCTGTTACAGGTGTCTGTTTGATCTCCTG